TAAATAAATAAATAAATAAATAAATAAATAAATAAAAATCATCCATTAAATAAATAAATAAATAAATAAACAAATAAATATAAAATAAAATAATCATCCATCTCTCACCCTGTCACAAAAAAACAAAAAGCAGGTTGGAGTTTTTTACTGGAATTTATGTTAAATTTTTAGCTTAATCTGGGATGAGTTGATTTCTTGCCATGATTCAGTTTTATCCTTCAGGAACCTGCTATGACTCTAAGATCTTTTGTATTCCGGGAAAGTTTTCTATAAATATTTTAAATTAATAGGAGTGGTATCGAAAAGGGAAAACTTTTTTTAGTAGCAAACAATATTATAGGTAGTAGGTGAGAATAATAATCATATGTTTAAAATGCCATCCACTATTGAGTTTACACTAGGACTTTCTATTCATTTATTCAGTAAACATTTATGATGATGGAGGAGGCATCAGCGATGACACCTATATTTCTGGCTTGGTCAAATTTTAAGTTTAAACGTGTAATATATAACATTTGAAGCTTTATTTTATTTGAACAGGGTCATTATAATGCTCCAGGTACCATGTTAGATGCTGGAGATATAGTAGTGATCAGCTTAGCTATAGTATTGCTCTTTGTGAAGTTTCCAGAATCTAGCTGGAGAAGTAGACATTCACTATACGATGAATTACTCGTGTACTAAGTGCTATGAAGGGAAAGTATAGGTTGATAAGCAATAAGAAAATGGAGGGGACCTAACTTACTGGGGAAGGGCGATGGGGGTTGTCAAGCAATACTTCTTGGTGATGAGTTTTAAGCAAAAGCCAGAAATAATACTAGAAGTTCCTAGGAGCTGCAGTATCCCAGTTAGTAGGAGCAACTCAGAGCCTGTGTAAAGGAGCTTGGCACATTTGAGGAGCCAAAGGAAGGCTATTGTCACTAGAACTTAGTGATGTGGGGAGGGACTTGAATCAGGCTAGAGACATGAGAAATAACAAGACAAGATTATTTTTTAATGGTTACCTGCCTTGTAGAAAATGGATTATAAGGAGTCAAGAGTAGATATGGAGAGAGCATTTAGGAGGCTGTTCACAGCAATTCAAGTAATAAACAATGGGAACATTGCAGCAGGGGAGTGACAGCAGAGATGGAGAGACATAGGACAGAGATATTTGGGAGATGCAGTTCTTGGGGTTTGATGGTGTATTGAGTATGTGGAGGGATGGAGAAAGTATCGGTATATTTCTGGCTTGGGTATTCAGTCATTTAAAATTTTTAAATTTTAGTGTGTAGTATATAACATTTGAGACTTTATTTGAAAAGGACATTTCTAACATTTGTGTAATCTAGAAGAGAAGAAGATATTTACTACTTTTTAAAATGGTGATCAAATGTTTTTTTCATGCTGTAGATATTGCACCACCATATTGCCTCAGTAGAGAAATTGGCTTTGACTACTTCTGGATGCCCACTTGTGATTCAGTGCAAGAACTTCAGGATTGTGCATTTCATTGTTCCCAGAGAAAGAGATTGCCATGATATTTACAACTCTTTGCTACAACTGTCAAAACAAGGTATTGTTCTTAGAGACCAAAGCTTACTTTCTCAATTTTGAGATGGATTATCTTAAATGCTTTATTTAATGTCTCATTATTATTATTTTATACTTTAAGTTACTCTTGAATCAAGTTCTTGTGCACCCTATTCCAAAAAATTTGGCCTAGAAATAATTAGAAACTTATCATCTGAATTGTAAGAATGGTTTTCAAAGAAGGGGTGATAATAGAGAAAAAGCAAAGCATTTGTAGTACAGATTTTAAAAAACATAGGTTTATGTTAATGTTTTTAAAGTCTGTTGATAGCCAGGAGCAGAACTCTTTTTCAAGTGGGTATCCCACAACCAAAGGGAATGACTTGGAAATTGATATTACTAAATGAAAAGTTAAGAAAGGTTGGGCTCTTCTGGTTGCAATGGGACTAATAAATTTAATTGACTAGAGTGGAACATAAAGGAGATGCGCAGAAGAAAAAGAGAGGGTGAATCCTACTTTAGTAGAGGTAGGAGTGAGAGGGATATAGGCCCTAAAGAGGAATCGTATCACTACTTATGCCTTAGGGATCTGGAGGCTTCCTTCCCCCAACATGACTTGAATTACATAGATTTTTCCAGAGAGACAAAGCACACTGGTTACTGAATGTTACTTTTTTGTTGAACACCTAGATTGCATTGGTCTAGGTCTGTGTTCACTCTTCTCTCCTGATACGTAAAGCCTGTAATGCTTATCCCATTGTCCCAAGTTAAGCCAAATCTTTTAGTAAAGATGGTTCTGTGACTTCTGGGGGCTTATTGTTGTTCAGAAGTAAGTGCTCTCTGGAGCTCTGTGCAACTGTTGCCATTGTTGGTCAACACTGTCCTATGGGAATGTATATGCAGTTTCATGGTCTATATGCCACCTCTAGTTTTTTATTACAGTATTAGTCTTTCCTTAATAACATCTCATTTGGGAAAAATGGTGAGTGGGAAGTGTCTATTTGTGTCTTTAAAATTTTACTTTTAAGAAAAGGAAATATTGCAGTATTTAATGTACAAGTCTAGTTATTGTTTACTAGCTTTTGCTGATGATATAAATTGAATCTCAGATCCATTATGTGTGCCTCTAGATATAATCATTTGCATCAAAGAACTGAGAAAATACTAAGTTCAAATATGTTCAGGTATTAACCATCTCTTTGATGATTTTAAAGAAAAAATGGAGAGATAAAACTGAAAAATTACTTTCACTTCTAGTGTATTGTCCCATAAATTGCATTTTAACATTTATGTATTTTGTATACTATAGCAAAATATGAAGATCTCTATGCATTCTCTTATAATCCCAAACAAAATGATTCAGAACAACTACGAGGTTGGCAGCTCATTGACCTTGCTGAGGAATATAAGAGGATGGGAGTGCCAAATTCAAACTGGCAGTTGTCCGATGCCAACCGAGAATACAAGGTAACTTAGCAACCTTTTAGAGAAATTCAGAAAATGTTAGTACCAGAGAGTCACAGAGTGTCAGAGTGTTACCAAACCTAGTGGGCTTGCCTCCTGGTGAGTTAAATAAGACTCTACACCAGTGGAAGTTGTCTCACAAAATAAAGTGTATTTGCAGGAAATAGGAGCCCATGAGGAATCGTTTCCAAAGTCATGGTGTCCCCCAACAAAGGGAAGCAGGAACTTTTATTTGGTCAGGGAATGAATATTCAAAAGGGAGAGGCGGGTATTCACTTGCACAAGCTCAGTTGGAGAACATGCTTCCACATAATGAGGCCTAAGCTCTTCCTGGAGAGATCTCTGTACTAAAAACAAGGCAAAGGTCATGGGCATAGCTCTTGTGGTGAGGCTTGGTCAGTTTCAGGATGGCTGGTGGTTACATCTCCTTAACACACAAAAGGAAAAGAAACAACTTGGAAAAACAGTTAATTGCTTCCAAACCCACCTTTGAATTTCTCAAGGCACCTAGTGGGTGACAATAGTAGCAAGTTGTCTGTGTATTACTATGTACTGTTCTTGCATTTAATAAGTTCTAAAATTTTTTAAAGATTTTTTTTAACCTCAAGGTTTTTGAACTATGAGTAGAATGGATATATTTTATTTGATATTTACAGATTTGTGAAACTTATCCGAGAGAACTTTATGTTCCCCGAATAGCAAGCAAACCAATAATTGTTGGTAGTTCCAAGTTCCGGAGCAAGGGAAGATTCCCAGTTCTTTCCTACTATCATCAAGATAAGGAGGTAGGAAGCTTTTCTTTTGATTTTATGAATGTGGTATAACCCCTCTTCAGGTTTAAATATCCAAAAGAACACTCATTTTTACATTGAGGTTATTGTTACAATATTGTTTATAGAGAAGTGCTGGCTTTTCACTTAATTACATTTTTGAAATTTTGAAACAAAACTACCCTGAAATATAGCAACTTTCATACTCATCATCTCCCCCCGCCCCAACTTCCTTCCTTCATTCTTTCCTTCCTTCCTTCTAGTAGTGACTTGAAAATAATGGGATTAGTGAACAGATAGGTTCTTCTTTTCCTGTGGTTCTCTTTTGATCCTACTTATGTTTGGGGAAACCAGATTTTTGACAAGCCAACTATTGAGGAAAGGGAGAGAACCACGGGTATTTCCGACTCCCATTTTAATAGTAAGTTCTTCAAATTGGAAGGATTTTACGAGATGAAGAGGTGAAGGAGGCATTTTTATACTGAGATGCTATAGTAGGGTTTGCTCATTACAGTAAAGTTTACCTTTGTAGCCTGTAAAGGTAGGCCAGGAGGTACTATATGTTACATGCTTTATATGCATCAAATCCTCTTTATAATAGAGGACTTTATAAGGTAGGCTCTGCTAATTACCTGTAACTTTCAAATGGGGAAACTGTAGTTCAGAGAGGGTAAATCATTTTTCCTATATTTCACAGCCAGTAAGTTGAGGAGTTTGAGGCCAGTTCTGACTTCCAGTCCTTTGTGACCTGATGTTTTTCTCAGGAAGCTTTTAGAATCTTATTTTTTCCCACTGTTCTAAAATTTCATGGTGATGTGCCTTGGCATGTTGTTTTAAATTCTATCTGGAAACTCGGGTCTCAGTTTTGGGAAGTCGCTTCTCTATTTCTTTGGTAACTTCCTCTCTTAATTACTTTGTACGTGTGTGTGTCTGTGTCTGTGTGTGTGTGTTGACAAGTGGGCTTCCTAGCATAAACCTTCATTTTCTTAATTTTCTTTCCTATTTTCCATCTCTTTCTGTTTTCTAGAAGATTTCCTCCACCTTATTTCCAATCCATCTCTTGAATCCTTTATTTTTGCTGTGGTGTTTTTAAAATCCAAGAACTCTTTCCTATTTTCTGAACTCAATAAACAAGTTTTCTATTCTTGGTTGTAATGATTTGGTTCTCTGAAGATGTTATGGATTTTTTAAAAAGAATTCTTGTGCTCCCCACGTTAGTTATCTGTTTGTACCGAGTTCCTTTTTTTCTGTTTATTTTGGTTTTGTTTTTCATGTCTTTCAAATATCTGATTCTTGGCCTCTCATGTTTAAGAGTGAGGTACTACAAAGCTATTTTGAAGTTTATTTGTGTGCATGAGTCATCTCTATCTTTGGATTCTTTCTGTTGTAATTTTCGTCCCAATGTGTGTGGTAAGTCTGGCCCGGATCCAAGTGTGGGAAGAGGGATGGGAAGATCTCACATTTTGTTATGTGGGCTTTACTTAATCCTCCTGTTTTTGGAGGTACAAGGCTTCACCCTCACCCACAGCTGTGCCTGTTGTCCAAAGTATCCTCTTTATAGAATAAACTTGGTCTTCAGGGTGAGGGACGATCTGGGAATCTTAACTAGTCCTTATGCAGACATTCAGCTAGTTCTCCTGTTTTCATTTATACCCCAGCTCAGGCTTTTCCCAAGTACCAAGTCCTAAGCCTTTCTGAGATTTTGCTACTCAAAAAGCCTTGCTTCTTATTGTCTCACAACCAGTAGGCAGTTTTCTTTGCTGTGGAAAATTGGTTATTACTTGTCAATCTGCTTTCATTTCACCAAATTTTATTGACTTCTGTACTCTATTTTTGTCTCCTTTCCCACTCTCTTTGACCTTTTGGTTTTATATATTTTAATTTTCTTTATTAGAACTTTAGTTGGGTTTTAGAAGGGGGCCAGAGGTAAAAAGTAACACTTTAAAGAGAAGTTCCTATTCTGCTTTCCAGAACAGTCAATGGGAGTTATGACTGGTTATGGCCTCTGTTTGACATACCCATATTTATATACATTTTTTATTGGAAAGCTGGGTTGAAACTGGATGTGCAGTGACCATCTTAACCAATCAGAAAGTAGGTCTAAAAAGAATTTAATAAGGCAATTTTCATTTTCTTCTACTATTTTATTAAATTTTCATAGTTTTATTTTGTGTGTGAATTTTAAATGTGTGAATTTATATATACTATTTTTTCTTAATGATATTGTGGTTGGAATGTTTGAGTAGAGTTAAGTTGGAGTTGGTATGGATGAGATTGGAGGAAAAGTCTATGGGTCTAAATCTTTTTAATCTTTTTTTAAGACTTTAAACAACAGTGAATATCTAATCCAACATTCACTACTTCTTATAGATATTTTAGCCCTCTTAGATTGACTATATTTTAACCCAAATTTGAGTTGATGCTCATTTTTCTCATTTTATGTCTCATTTCATATAGAGATTACTGATTCCTGATTAGAGATATGAAAGCCTTTGGAAAGTAAGAGTTCAGATGTTGCTGCTTAAAAAACTCCTGTTCTGGGGCCGGCCTGGTGGTGTAGCGGTTAAGTGCACGCGCTCAGCTTCGGTGGCCTGGGGTTTGCACATTCAGATCCTGGGCGCGCACTGCTTGTCAAGCCATGCTGAGGCTGTGTCCCATATAAAGTAGAGGAAGATGGGCACGGATGTTAGCCCAGGGCCAATCTTCCTCAGCAAAAAAGAGGAGGATTGGTGTCGGATGTTAGCTCAGGGCTAATCTTCCTCACACACACACACAAAAATCCTGTTCTGCTTTTATTGACTAATCTCTTACTTAAATTTGAGTGGAAACTATCTTATAATCTAAATGGAGCACAGAATGTAAGTATTTAACAGTAGGTTACATGATAGAGAATGGACCAAGTGTTACCTCGTAGGACCTAAGATTTTTACATGAAACTAGGTAAGGAGGCATTTAGGTTTCTTAGTAGAAGAGAATATTGGGAAAACTTAGGTAACGTTAAGATAGTGAAATAGTATTTAATTCAAAGAGGATATCAAATTTAATGCCTTCTGATTGTCCTGCCAACTTTTAAACAGATTGCATATTGGATTTTAACTTTTTTTCTCCTAAGCCTTTTTTGAGATGTGTTTTTAGGCATCTTTGGATAATCTGTTTTTCTGTCTTTTTAAAATTAGGCTGCCATTTGTCGATGTAGTCAACCGCTGTCAGGATTCAGTGCCAGGTGCCTGGAGGATGAACATTTGCTTCAAGCCATTAGTAAAGCCAATCCAGTCAATCGCTATATGTATGTCGTGGATACTAGGCCCAAAGTATGTGTCTTGAATACAGTCCAGTCTGTTAGTTTAATTATCTTTGTTACTTTACTTAATGGGGGTTGATCAATTTGTCCATATTTAAAATATCTCAATCCTAGTTTTAAATTAACTGAGACTAATGATACTAAGAAAATCAATTTTTAAAGGATACAACTTAGGAGACCAATTTCACAGTAACCCAGATGGTGATTTCTTAGGTGATCTGATATATATATATATATAAAAATTCAGGAAAGCTGAATTTTATATTGGGAACTCTTGATGGTGTATAAATCTTATGGTATTATGAAGAAATACTAAATAATGTGTATGTTGTGAAAAATTAGAAATTCGTATTACTTTTTCTGGTAGAATTTTTAATTGGCAAAACACTTTGTGTTAAAATAATGGACCTGAATTTGAAATATTCAAGAAAATAAGGAAAAGAGATAGTGAGTTAACTTAGGAGACACTGAACCTAGAGAATTATAAATAGTGAACAGGAAATAGTTGTTTTGTTAGGCATCTATAATGTAAAGTTAAATTTTTGTCATTGGGACAAATGTCAGAATCCCTTTTTCTTTTAATAAACACAGTTAAATAACCAATTCATATAGGCTCCTGAAACTAAAGTGATTAAAATTCTCAATGGTAATAGCTAACATTACTTTTAATTTTTATTATAGCATCGCATGCAGAGCTGGTGGGCTACACAAAAGGACATTGGCAGAATTATAGTGAAAATTTCTTCAAAAATCTGGAATGATGAGAAAATAAGAGAAAGCCCTGAGCAAAAGCGAGTGAGCGATATAGAACGCAATTTTAGGCAGCTTTGTTGAAAGGAATGTAGCTGTTTTAGAAGTAATTCTCGGGCCGGCTCCGTGGCTTAGCGGTTAAGTGCGCGCGCTCTGATGCTGGCGGCCCGGGTTCGGATCCCGGGCGCGCCCCGAGGCACCACTTCTCCGTCCAACGCGAGACCGAGTCCCACGTACAGCAACTAGAAGGATGTGAACCTATGACATACAACTATCTACTGGGGCTTTGGGGGGAA